TTGACTGAGAAGCCTCCAGCTGAGTTTTGTCTGTCCCCAGATGGCAACTCAGAGGCCATTTCCATTGACCTGCTTCAGAAGAAAGGTGAATATTACCCCCAGCTCAAACCGGGAATTCTGTTGTCAGTACCTATTTGTGCCTGTTGCCCTACTGACTAGCCCTCCTGAATAGTTCCCTGTCTTAGAACTCCAAGTTCTGGGAGGAATTAGAGAGCACAGGCATTGGGGCAAGAGAAGTCTGTGTCCTGTGTGTTTTGAGTATGTGCGAGTGGGCCAGGGTCATTTATCAAATGCTTAAGAATGAGGCTTCAGTCTCCTCCCTCAGGGAGCTAAGGATGGTGAGGGAGACTGCCATGTCATAAATCAATGCCTGCGTGCTCTAATCCGGGGAGTTTAGGTACTACAGGGCCCAGCAGCTTGGGTAAGCGTGCTGGTAACATCTACTGAGAAATGGACTGACAAGGAACCACTCTTATTATCAAATAAGGGACCACTGAACTAAGAGAGAGAGCTGTTTAAAGATGGTGGGAAAGAATTGAGCATAACTGTGGGCTGAAGCAAAGGAGCCTGTGAAAAGGGAGAAAGATGAAGCCAAGGTCCCTTGCAGAGGCAGAGTGGGAGAGTCAAAGCTTAGGAAGAGGGAAGAACCTTGGGCAGGAAGGGGTACAATAGCCACCTTCCTCCAAGGTGGAGGGAGTGAGGGGGGGAGGGAAGAGGTGGGAGAGAGGATAGATATAATATAGTTATGTCTTTTGGATGGAAAGGGAAGTTGAATTCATGATCAGTAGCCTCTGTTCTCTGTGTGGAGTAGAACCAAGGGCTTGAGAAGAGGGGTAAAGATTTGGCACAGCAACTTGAGAGCATAGTAGAGGCACATCAAAGAAGTCCCCTGGTCAGTCACTGATGGGGGTGGCCCTGGACTTTCTCCAGCAGCCTGGTTTCTCAGAGTGGAGAAGACAGATGGTTAGATTGATCTAGGATTGGAGTAAGAGGGCAAGGAAGTTGAGGACGTTGAAGGCCTTGATGATGGAATCATTGAGGTGGATCCAGGCTGGCAGGTGAAAACAGGAGGGGCTTGAGAACTAGGCAAAAACAGGTAGGGGCCAGGGCCTGGTGCCTTGGTGAGACCCATGTGCAGGGAAAGAGAGTGTGGAAGCCCTTTCCTCTCTCCACTGAGGGCTCAGTCCCAGCTGAGTTGCCCAGGGACATGCTTAGGGACCTGTCACATCAAATTCTTGCTTGCAGGGCTGGTGAAAGCTGTTAACACTGCTGTGGACCTCATCGTGGCCCATTTTGGCACAAGCCGGGATCCTGGGGTGAAGGTAGGCAAGAAACTGGAGAGTTCAGCTCTGCCCTGCTGACCCTCACCTATTCTGTGCTACCATCTTCCCTTGCTTTCTTGCATCTAGAGCCCAGAGTTGGGTACTTAGGGATGCGGATCGCAAGAGAAGCACCATTAGGGCTGATTAAGAGAGTCGGAGAGGACCAAGGTCCGGCTTCACATGATTCCCTGTACTTCCCTACTGCATCTGCAGGCAAAGCTGGGGAATAGTTCTGTGAGCCCCAATGTAGGCCACCTGATTCTGAAGTACTTGTGCCCTGCGGTCCGGGCTGTGCTGGAGGACGGGCTCAAGGCCTTTGTGCTAGATGTCATCATCGGGCAACGTAAGAACATGCCATGGAGTGTGGTTGAGGCTTCCACACAGCTAGGTAAGTGCTGGGTGGCAAGAGGGGGACCCTAGGCTGAATTTAGGGTTCCAGTGATTGGGCATGTGACCTCAACTCTGGCTTCCTCCCAGGCCCATCCACCAAGGTCCTGCACGGCCTCTACAACAAAGTCAGCCAATTCCCAGAGCTCACCAGTCATACCATGCGCTTCAATGCCTTCATCCTTGGCCTGCTCAAGTAAGTATGTGGAGCAATGAGATCTGCAAACCACTGGCTCTTCCCCTGGGCTCAGCCACCTCTGAGCAACCAACTCCCTAGACTGAGACAGAAAGGGGATCTGCGGGATCTGTGGCCAGGGCCCAGTCTCACTTTCTCCCTACCTAGCTAAAGCCTCTCTCAGTAGGTCTCTGGTTTCCCACCATACCCACGACCCTCTGGCACTGATCACCAACGTGGTCTTCTGCTTTTATAATTCCATAATCTGGCTTATTTGGAAATTAATCAGGTTCTCAGTTTCTCTGAATATTGTAAACTCTGATCCTCTCAATTCCAGCACTGCTTCAAAATCTTGCTTGACCCCAAGTCCACCTTGGGACCCACATCACAGTATTCATGTTTCTCAAGTATGGGCTCAGTCATCTCCTTTGGCCCTGAGCTACCCTTTACTCTCCCTCAGTAGCTGCCCTGACTTCTCGGGTCTTGCGCAAGCCAGCTCCATTCTAGGAAGTGATTGGCTTATGAATCACATGTTCACCCCCTCCCTACATCCCCACTGACTTTCTAGAACTTTATTACATGAAATGAACCAGGTAGCATCCCTGCCATAGAAGGGAGATGTTCACCTGTGCCTCTGCCCTGGGTCTGTCTCCTTTGTACCTTATCATCTGGCTATATCCACACAACACTCAACTCTCTTCTCCTGTCCCTACAGCATCCGGTCTCTGGAGTTCTGGTTTAATCACCTCTATAACCACGAAGGTAATGCCCAGAACCCTGCTCTCTCTTGCACTCAGTATAGGCCAGATCTCAGAGGCTCAGAAGAGGGAGGCACAGCTGTCATTTCAGATGCTAGAGGTGGGGAGGGGAACACACAAGCTTTCATCCTCAAAGCTTGGGCTTGTGTTAGAGCCTTGGAGTCAGGCAGTCTGAAAGTCAGGGTGGCCAGGAACCCCAACACCTCTCCTCTAAACTCGGGGCCTCCACTTAAGGTTGTGGAGTTTATGTACCACACAACTTGAAGAGGCATCGTTTACGCTGTCGTACTTCTAAGTGGCACACTACCCAGCCTGTGCAGCAGTCTGCGGTGGCTCTGCCCAGGCTGACTTTCACAGGCCCATGCCAGACCAGGCTCTGCTTGTCTGTATGGCTCAGTCCCTCTCTCTTTCTCCCCTAGATATCATCCAGACCCACTACCAGCCATGGGGCTTCCTGAGCGCAGCACATACTGTGTGCCCTGGCCTCTTTGAGGAGCTGCTGCTGCTGCTACAGCCCCTGGCCTTGCTGCCCTTCAGCCTCGACTTGCTGTTCCAGCACCGGCTGCTGCAAAGTGGGCAGCAGCAGCGGCAGCACAAGGAGCTGCTGCGGGTGTCCCAGAACCTGCTGCTGTCTGCCCACTCAACGCTGCAGCTGGCCCAGGCCCGGGGCCAGGAGGGCCCCAGAGACGTGGACAGGGCAGCCCGTGGGGAGCGGGTGAAGGGTGTGGGTGCCCCAGAAGGTGGAGAAGATGAGGAGGAAGTGGAGGAGACAGAAGAGGCAGCAGAGGATGCTGGGGGCTCAGGGTGTGGCAGGGGGTCCCGAGGTGGGCAGGCTGGCTGGTGGTACCAGCTCATGCAGAGCTCCCAGGTCTACATCGATGGCTCCACTGAGGGTTCAAGGTTCCCCCGAGGTGGCAGCAATAGCAGCAGTGGCAGCAGCAGTGAGAAAAAGAAAGGGGCCGGAGGTGGGGGGCCACCTCCCCGAGAGGGAGTAGTGGAGGGAGCTGAGGCCTGCCCTGCTCCTGAGGAGACCCTGGGCTGGGACAGGGGCTGGCCCTTCTGGATGGGGAGCCCCCCTGATTCTGTACTGGCTGAGCTGAGACGCAGTCGGGAGAGGGAGGGGTCCACTGCCCCCCCAGCAGAAAATGAGGAAGGAGCCTCAGGGCCTTCACCTGGGGGCATCAAGTGGGGACACCTCTTTGGGTCCCGAAAGGCTCAGCGGGAAGCCCGGCCCACAAACAGGTAAGAGGCAGCCCACGGTGTACACGAAGGGAGTGGGGGTACCTGATCTAAGCCAGGGAACAGACAGAGCCAGAGCCCCAGCTGCTGTCCCCTAGGCTACCGTCAGACTGGCTGAGCCTGGACAAGTCCATGTTCCAACTAGTGGCACAGACAGTGGGTGCCCGCCAGGAGCCAGAGCCCAAGGAGAGCCCGCAGGAGCCACACTCTCCAGCCCTGCCCTCTAAGCCTCCATGGTGAGTCCTGGGGGACAGAAGGATTGGGGGGCTGGGTTTGGCTGCGGGTGGGGCTTCTCTGACATTCATCTGTTGTTTCCCCAGCCAGGTGAAGGCACTGTGCCACCATCTGGCCACAGGCCCTGGACTGCTGAGCTTCCACAAGGGAGATATCCTACGGGTGCTGGGGCCAGCCAGAGGAGACTGGCTGCATTGCAGCCATGGCGCTGACACAGGCCTGGTGCCTCTGGCCTACGTGACCTTGACCCCAACTCCAAGTCCAATCCCCAGAAGCAGCCAAAACTGAGGCCCTGTGCATGCTGGTGGCCTCAGGGACCCTCATAACCCCCAGACTCGGAGCCTGAGAGCCCTTCCCTCTGGCTTGGCTACTGAGAGTAGACTGAGAGCTGGGGGCCACATATCCCTGTGCTCAGTATTAATCACTCCCCCTTAACTGTCCCAGTGACCTTGTCCAGACCTCTACCCAGGAAAGGAGGGAAGGGACACAGCACTGGACTGCCAGGATTTCCCCAGCCCATTTGGGGCAGCCCTTCCATGGGTACAGACAAGCATGTCCCTATGGAGGGAGTGACTGGAGGCCCATTTGCAGGGTTCCCTAGGCCAGGTGGTGAGGTGGCGGGGTGACAGTATTGGGGCCAGATCTCTAAGCCCCTAGCTGTAAATAGGCTGTGGCCAGTGCCTGGTGGTCAAAAGAGGGAGGAGGAGCCCAGGCTTCTGTTTGTGTATTTATTTATTTATTTATAACACCTATTAATAAAAAAGGTGCTCGGCCTCCAAACCATTCTCTTTGTGGCTCCCCCCACCCTCTGGTCCACCTCGCTTCCTTCCAAAAGGATGGCTGGGATAGGATGAACAGGGAAGAGAGAACTTGAGGTCCAGGTACCTACACCAGGAGCTGCTGCTGGAGGGTGCTGAGGCCCAGAGCATCATGGGTGAGATGGCCATATGTGCGGCCAAACTGGAACTTATACCCTGTGTGGCCAAGAGAGTCTGTCACTTGTAGCCAGTGGCATGGAAAAGCCATTTATTTCTCAGCATGTTGCCTAGACCCTCCAAAATCTGGTCCTGACTCCCCAGGGTGAGCTACCTCAGTTTCCTTTTCTGCCCTATGGTAAAGCTGAACCACATGATCTGAGGTCCCCCCATATCTATTAGTTCCATCCCCCTAAACCACCTCCACCTATCCCACACACACACACAATATTCCAGTCCCCAAAGCCTCCCTCTGGGGCTATCCTTACCTGGCACATGGTCCCCGTAGTTAGGTAAAAGGCCCAGATTCTGAGAGTAGGTCCTGGAAAGTGGGGGGAGATGTTTGGGATCTTTCTGGGGTCTGCCCCATGAATACATCTGTCCAAATTCCTGCAGTGCCTGGTTGGTGAGCACAGGAAAGCTGGAGCCGAAGAGGAAGCGGGCACGGGGCACATAACCAGTGAAGCCTGGGGGAGGGGATACTGAGTGAAGACCTCCTGGGCGCCTCCCCACGCCTTTGGTCATTACCCACCTCCTCTCACCTGACTTGAAGAACTTGCGAGGATCTCTGTCAGCCATGGAATAGGGGGAAGCCTTGTGAGGAGAAGCAGATAGAAGAAAAATAGGGCTATCAAATTCAGGTCCTGTGCTCTAACAAGCTCCCAGGGAGGTGGAGCTGGCAGTCAACCTCACATCCCATGTACCCACAGCCATGCTACTCGTGGCCACCCCCAGGCCTGGCCACACAGACGTAAGGCTCCCCACTCCCACCCCACTGCAGATCCCTCAGCTATCTGGGTCTCACTCGTTCCGCCTCCTGTCCCAGCTCTGGCTCCTCGGCCTTCGGCTCTGGCTCTGGCTCTGGCTCTCAGGCTTGCTCCACGTCTTTTCCTCCCTTAGCCTCCTTTGGCAGCTCTTGACTCCCATGTCCCCCACGCCACTGAGTAAAACCATGCAGAGCCTCAGCCCAGACCTGGCTGCAGTTCTTGGCAAAAATGAACTGTGCCTGGGGTACAAAACCTGGGTGGGCAGGGGCAAGGAAGATTTCTGTTAGTGTTTGGGACACGTGTTGTGGTATGGGGGCACCTGTTCATACCTGTGTACATACCTGTGTACCCAGGGATCATGCTGGAGCTGAGCCTTTCGTGCGCGTGCCTGACATGCAGGCTTCCTCTGGGAACCTCGGGAGATCTTGGAGGCCGAATGCGAGGCAGAAGTGTGCAACGGGCAGGGGGCTAGGCTAGGCCAGGCCAGGAGAGCCTCGAAGTAGCTGACCATTTGCCTGCCCATAGGTCTGGCCCATGCTGGACCGAAGTAGTGGGCAGTGTCCAGTGTACCTATAGTACAGGACTCACCCACTCACCTCCAGAGTCCCTCTGCACCCCCCATCCCCAGAAGCAGAAGCAGAGATCTCTGAAGCCCTAGTCTTTTCTAGACTCAGCTGTGTATATATTTGGAGCAGGCATTTCTCAGTTCTCTGTCTGGGTTTTGAACCCTTCCCCTCTGCTGTTACCCTGTTACCAAGGAGAAGACAACACAGAGCTTTGTGGCAGGCCCAGCTACCACATTTCCCTTGCTTTTCTATCCAACACCGTAGATATCCCAGCCCTGAGCCTCCCAAACTGCTATGTCCAGTTGGCCCCGGAGGTCTAGAGGGGCACAACTCCTATCCCTCTACCCCTATTCCCAGAAGCAAGCTGGGTGTGCTCTGGGTAGAAGTGTTACCCCGGGATATAATGAGGGTTCAGCCCCAGTATGAAGGTGCTGGCCATAGCCGTGGGAACCCAGGCAGTTCCTTTTGTTTCCCTTTGAGCCGAGGCTCTGGGCTGTGTGTACTGTGTCCAGGGCAATGGGGCCGAGCCAGAGGCAGGAGGCAGGGCCAAGGGAGGAGCGAGGGGAGGGGCGCTAGTGAGATGACGGCCAGGGCCAAGGCCAGCAGAACAGGAGAGCAGAGGCTCACTGGTCTGTCTACTCCAGAACGCAGTCCTGCCACCTGTGGGCAGGGAAGAGGCTGAGTACAGCCTCCCCACGCCAGGACCGAAGGAAGCCCTAAGGTGGGAGGTGGGAGAGCAACAACTGTGAAGTTCATTCAGCTCTGTCTCAAAAGAGGACCCTTCCTTCTTAAGCCCCCGTCTGAGCACCTGCCTGAGGAGATGTGGATTCTACTCTTTGTGAGTCTTGAGTGAAGGTAATGCAGTTCCTGGGAAAAGGGGGTCTCTGAGGGGAGCCCAGAGCCCGGGGGGAGGTCATAGGGGAAAAAAGGAAACTAGAGACCTCTAGGCAGTGACATTAAGTTTATTTTCAATAATGTAATTTAACAGGAATGATTTTTTGGATTCCTACTATAATTTGGATCATCATCCATTCAACAAATATGCCATGCTCTGCTAGGCACACTCCGCAGTGGCAGAATGTACACTATGAAAGAGTCAGAACAGCTGAGCCCCATGTGACTTTGGGCGGGTCATTTAGTATTTCTGAACCCCACTGTCCTCATCTATAAAATGCAGATACTACTACTCTCCCTCGCACTGTTGTGAGGCTCAAAGGAATGTGTGCAAGTGTGTTTGTAACGATCAAGACCAAGAAGCCGGGGCCGGCCTCGTGGCTTAGCGGTTAAGTGTGGCACTCCGCTACTGGCGGCCCGGGTTCGGAACCCCGGGCACGCACCGACGCACCACTTCTCCGGCCATGCTGAGGCCGCGTCCCATATACAGCAACTAGAAGGATGTGCAATTATGACATACAGCTATGTACTGGGGCTTTGGGGGGGGAAAAAAAGGAGGAGGATTGGCAATAGATGTTAGCTCAGAGCCTATCTTCCTCAGCAAAAAAAAAAAAGGAGGATTAGCACAGATGTTAGCTCAGGGCTGATCTTCCTCACAAAAAAAGACCAGGAAGCCGGAATGGTAGGGTAGAGGAAAGAGCAGGGGGTGAGGTCAGACAGTCACGGGCTCCTAATAGCTTGTGGCCTTGAGCCGACCCTACTGCTCTGAGCAGGTGACTTGACTTCTTCTGAGCCTGAATTCCCTAAGCTCTACCATGAAGGTTAAAATAATCTAACCTACCAAGGTGCTGTTTGTTAAGGGTAAAGTCAGATAGATAGTGTGTGTGCAAGAACTTACCCCAGCACCTGGCACACAGCTACTAAAACTTTATTTCCTTCTCTATTGTCTGTCTAATACTGTCTCTAAGCTTCTAACACATATGGGCGATCAATGGATGGTTAGTAAATTCAGTGGCTGTGGGTTTTTTTTTTACTGTGGGAGTTCAAGGGAAGGAGATATGAGGGTAATGTTGCGGTTTAAGACTAGGAGGCAAATTAGAATTTAAGAAAGCAATTCAAATTCTAAGAGAAGAGAAATACAGACCAGGAAGAAGAGATCTGAGGGGGCGGGGAACACGATTAGAACTCAGCTCCAGGGCTGAATCAGGACTGGGTTGGTCCACCTTTCCAGGAGGCAGAGCCTCTGCTCTTCTCCCCATCCCGACTGTGACAGTGCCTGGGCTGACCAAGCACGTGTCACTGAATTCTCGGGAATTGCACAAGAGCACTGGGCCCCAAGGAATACATTTCATGTTCCTCACTGTTCTGCCAAGGACAGCCTTGGTATGTGTCATTTAGAGCTAGGGTTGAGGGAACTTGGCTCACAGTTGAGGAAATATGCCAGAGTGAGGGTGGGAGCTGAGGGGAGAGCCCAGACCAGCAGTAGTGCATCAAGGTTAACAACCTGGACTTTTGGATTCTGTAACAGACACTGTTTGTTGGACACCTCATCCCTATTCCCTACCCCCATCTCCCTTCTTCCTAACAGAACCTTAGTCTTGTTCTGCCAAGCAGTCAGGCACTTCGGGGAACCCTGGAGCCAGCCCTAGGAATGAGTCTTGCTTAGTCTAAAGCTCATCTTAGTGGTCCCATTCCCCTTGCCAATGACTGGTTAGGCATGGGCTGTGGCATTCTGGACACTGAGGGGAAGGAAATCTGCTGGGATGAGGGATGGCCCTGGGAAAAGTTTCTTTGCTCTTAAAAAAGATGCACAACTGGAGCAGCCCCGTAGCCTAGTGGTTAAGTTCGGCATGCTCCGCTTCGGCGGCCTGGGTTCATGGGTTCGGATCCTAGGTGCAGACCTACACCACTCATCCCCGTGCTGTGGCGGCAGCCCACATATAAAGTAGAGGAAGATTGGCACAGATGTTAGCTCAGGACTCATCCTCCTGAAGCAAAAAAAGAGGAAGAGTGGCAAAAGATGATAGGTCAGGACGAATCTTCCTCAGCAAAAAAAAAAAAAAAAGATGCACAACAAATTAGGGAAAGAGAGATGGACAAGGAGTGATGTCTTCCTGCCTCTAGAAATTCTGTGGACGTGATGGTGGAACTTTGGCAGGTATCATGAAACCTTGTGGAAAGCTAGGCTAACCTGGGGACAAAGCTGACTACATCAAGGATGGATGGTGGAGTAGAAAGGCCTGGGTCCTTGACGATAATGTAGAGCCACTGAATTTAACCAACTGTTTTATGTGAAATAATTTCATTATTGTTAAGGCCACTTTAAGTTTTCTTTTACTTACAGCGAAAGGCATTATAACATAAAAGAAAAAAAAAAAAAAGGTCAAATTCTAACTTCACTAGAGATAGATATGGACCTTCGCCAGATTCATCTCAAGCCTGTTTTCTCATCTGTAGAATGGGGAACTAGACGTTACTACCTCATTGAGTAGGATAAGATAAATGAGATGAGGCATAAAGAGCAACTGGCCCAGTGTCTAGCTTATGTTAGTGCTAACTAAATAGAAATTCACAGTGTTTGGTTGGAATTTGGTGGAAATGGGAGAAAAGAAGAGTTAAGGACAGTAACAGGTTGTTGGGAGTTCAGGGGAAAGAGTCTGTGAAGTTGAGAAATGGAAAGGTTAAAATTTGAAGTTAGGCTACAGATTAGGAACAAATTCTGCCGAAAAGACCATGACAGTTACAATCAGGGTATGAGTTAATGCAGGTTAGGAAACAGGTTTCAATTAGTTTTATAATTTGTGAAGAAACGGCCCATTCCTATTGGTGAAATGGCCTGTTACTATTATTGTTTCCATCTTTGTAAAGAATAGTTCTAAGTCCCTGAGGATCAGAAGGGTGTTCTAATCTTAGAAAGGTGTGAAAGAGCTAGCTAAGGGCCCATAGGAATGTTCATTACCTCCGTGCCTCCTTCTAGGGGATAGTCAGCATGGTAGCCCAACCACAACTTGCTCCTGATGGGAGCTGCCACACCCAGTGGCCAGTGCTGAATGTGGCAGCAGAGAGAAATGTTTTACTGGGATTACACCCATCTACAGGACGAAGGTCCAGTTAGGAAAGCCACAGCAGTGCCCTGCCCACTCCACACAGCCTGTTGGGTCTCCACAATGGCAGTCTATACCTTTCTGTGGTTCTGCCTTTGATCCTGACCAGGAATTGTAAAATCTCATATAAACACAAATATCGAATCATTATGTTGTACACCTGAAACTAATAAAATGTTATATGTCAAATATATCTCAATTTAAAAAATCAAACTGGGCCGCCCCGTGGCTTAGCGGTTAAGTGCGCGCGCTCCGCTGCTGGCGGCCCGGGGTTCCAATCCTGGGCGCGCACCGATGCACCACTTCCCCGGCCATGCTGAGGCCGCGTCCCACATACAGCAACTAGAAGGATGTGCAGCTGTGACATACAACTATCTACTGGGGCTTTCGGGGGGAAATAAATAAATAAATAAAATCTTAAAAAAAAAAAATCAAACAAACAAAAATTTCCTATAGACCCCAGGTTAATCATTTGATTGTAAGTCAGTACTAGACAAGCATCAGTCCCTTCTGTCAGGATGAAGAAGAAAGTCATGAGACCTTTGGAAAAAACTCCTCAGATCAAGAGACACCAAAACTGAAACAAGAAGTGAAAAAAATAACTTCAAAGATCACATACAACACAAAATTTTTTTAATTAAAATATAGGGATGCAATAAAACTACATAAAAGGAAAGCAAGGGAATGAAAAACATGAGTTTGAGATGCTTACCTCACATGGAATGAGACAACGTGGCGGGGACCATACAGCTAAATGTATGTTATTGTCAAGGTCTCAGTTTTCATTGGGGATGGTGGTTTCATAAGTGCTTTTTATTACACATTATAATAAATTAATTAAAGCATGGACCAGTGATGAGAGTGTATCATAAACCAAGGATTATGATAACCCAAATCTGCACATTTGATATCCAAAGAGGTGGGGTGGGGATGGAGGGAATTGAAGTAGAAATGATCAGAAACAGTGGTATT